CTTTTTTTTTATAAGAAGCTCCATATTCCTCTCCACTAGCCATAAAAACAAACTTGTATCTCTACAAAAAATGGCGCCCTTAGAAGAGAAAGCACACTTCTGACTTTTCTACCAACTTTTTCAAACAATCCACACATAGCATATCTAGGCAAAATGTCTCCTCATACTCACAGTCCTCAAGACAACACCCACAATAGAAACAACGTGCTATGCAAAGCGTGCAACCCCTACAAACCTGAGAGGCATGATCTTTTGCCCGGCAACTCTCTCTTGGGCAGTCATAAACTAGCCCCAGTTTTTGGCATTTAGGGCATGACTCAATGTCGAAGGCACGATCATCATCACAAGGAGGATATAAATGTTCAAAACCAAAAAACTGCGGTTTACGGGTTCTCAGCTGCATATTGTCATCCTCACCAAGTAAGCACTTGAACTCTTCAAACTGCTTGTCTGTTATACCCATTTGTCTACCAATCCTTAAGTGCTTTATTCCTGGGGTGCCGGCAGACATGAAGGCTCTTAAATTAGACAAAATGCCCTCAGTGCTCAGTTTCAAACAATCTGGCACACAAAGCTGCAAACAAAAAGCCCAAAATTCTTAGTTCAACATACTTCAAAGAATTAAACTCAGGAAGAATGGAAATATAAGAGTTAAAATAAGGAAATCATTAACACATGCTTTATAAGGACTAAAATTTGATTGATCCTGTCACTGTATCTCTTTTTCTCAAGAGAATCTTCATATAAATCAAAAGGCTTCTAGCAAGTAATATTAAAAGCACAGTAGATAAGGAAATCCCAATCGCAATATCAACAGACGACGATCTTGGCTTTGATGGTGGAAGGAGTGAGTGAGAGAGATGGCGATGGTGAGTTGGTGACTGTAAGTGAAGACTGAAGAATGAAGATGGCAATGGTGAGTTTGTCTTTGTGACTGTCGAGAGAGAGAGTTTGAGTTTGAGTAAATTAAAATTTTAGGGTTATTTGAAATTTAAAAGGGGGTGCATAAAATCCAAAACCGCCTAGTTTTAGTAAAATCCATCCTGATCTGGTATTCAATCTAGATATTCGGATTTTCTTAAAATTATGATTCATATCCGATCCGAATTTTCGGATATCTGGCTTTTTTGAATCGGAGTGGAGCGGACTCGAATCGAATATCGGATTTTTTTGAACTGTCCTACCCCATCAGATGCGATTCTGGTCGAATGAGATATGAGATTTGGAATGACTGTTTTACCCTTGAACCATTATATTAAACAATTTTACATTAATTTAAAGGAGGGAATCTGGAATTTGTAAAACTATGGACAAGAATTAGCCATTTTGCTTTAACCTTGGGTGGGAACATGTCTTTTACTCTTTTTTAATTAATACTATTGGAGGTTGTTTGGTTAACGGTAATGGAAGATGACACCGGTAATCTATCTCAAAAGGGGATATTACCGTGTTTGGTTTTTAGGTAATAAAAAATTCTAGTAAACTTTCAATGCAAATAGTGTTTATTGTAGGCAATACTGGGGGTAATCTGATTACCGAGTGAAAATGTGTTATTTTAAGATTATTGAGGTAATCAAATTTTTGTTCTCATTTTACCCTTAATTAATTAACATTTTAGGCACAAATGTCCTCGTATGTTTACCAAATAACAATAAACCCAATTGTACTAAAATGCCACAATCACAATAAAAAGTTTAAAATTTAACAAAATATCGGCAGCTGCCCAAGATGACTACCAGTCGTCAACCACTGCCGACAGTTACTAGAATGGTGAATGTCCGACCGGATCTAGCCGACCGTGCGTCGATCTAGTCATTTCCGACTAGATCTCTGGTTGGAAATGTTTAGATCATTGTGGATCTGAACGGCCAAATCCATGGCCATTTTCGACCACATTTGTGGCCGTTAACGGCCTTGGATCTAGCCGTTTTTTGCCAGGATAGGTCTGGCTGTTTGCTGCCAGATCGACACACGATCGGCTAAATCCGAATGGTCGTGTGTCGTTCATGCTACTTCCGATGGAGGCCGACGATGGTAGCCAACTGTCGACAGTCACTTGGGTGACTGAATATTTTGTTAAATTTTAAACTTTTAATGTGGTTGAGGTGTTTTAGCCAAATTCTCAAATGTCAATGGGTTAAAAGTAATAATCGAAATAATAAAACAATATTATAATAATTTTTAAAGAAAATGGCAATTTAGTAAAATGGTCTCCTATAATTCTTTTATTCCTCCCAACCAAACATATTAATTATTTATATCCATCAATCGAACCAAATATATATAGTATAATATTCTCCTTAATCTTTAAAATAATATATCTAACTGATAATCTTATCTTTTCGCATTCTTTGAATGACTTAACCAAAGACCCCATAGGGGGCGTTTGGTTGGGAGTTATGTGGAATTACTAGGGGTTAAGTCATCTTATATTATTTGATTACAATGTTTGGTTGTCAAATAATATGAGATGTCGGTAATCTTCAAATACCAATAGTAGTTATTATTGGTAATATTGAAGGTAATTTGATTACCTCTATTTTCTTAGGTATTCTAAGATTACTAAAGTTATTTTTTTTTGTTACAATTTTATCCCTTATTAATAAAAAATTTGGACAATAATGCCCCTATTTTAAAATAAATTTACATTAATATCCTATTTCAATTTTACCCTTATTTAATTAAAGTTTTGGACAATAATACCCTTATATTTAAAACAATTTATGGACCACCACTGCCACCGAGCCACCATCGCCAACAGCGAGCCAACCAACATGGACCGCTGCCGAAAAGTCGCCGGAGTCCCCTAAAAAAGAACGGGATTCTGTGGGAGGCTCCGGGAGGCTTCAATATGGCCGTTTTCCAGCCATATTGATGGCCGAAAACGGCCATATCAGGCCAGATCGATGGAACTGGCCGTTAATGGGCAGATCTATTCTGACCGAAATAGATCTGGCCGTTAATGATCAAATCTCGCCCAGATCTGGTCGATAATGACTGTTTTCAGCCATCAATATAGTCAGAAACGGCCATATCGGAGCCTCTTGGTCACGGTGAGCTACTCACAGGGACTTTCGGAGACTTCTGACAGTGGTTTGCAACGGCGGCAGGCAACGGCAGGAGGTGGAGGTGATTTCGTCATAAATTAAAGTTTTATATAAGCAGGAGTATTTTAGCTAAATCTAAAATATTGGGAGTTAAAAGAAATTATTCAAAAATTAATTATAAAAATAATATTATATTAATATTTAAAAAGGGGACAATTTAATAATTTAAATAACATACCCATCAATTTATTCCCCATAACCAAACATATTAATATGACATACCCACCAACTAATCAAACACATTTTTTTAAAGATTCCCAGTAATCTTCAAGCTAATCTATCTTTCCAATAATCAAATATTCCCAGTAATCTAACATTCCCTGAACTAAACGCCCATTTAATATATTACTATATTACTTGAGAGTTCTTTTTAAGTGAGAATGGGGAAATTGGGAATGATTCATTGACACCAAAGTTTTTCTACAAATTCTTACATTACTTAATGAGAGTGATTAAACTATTTATCATAGCAATCTTTATATTATAAGAATTTCCCAATATCATATTCATCCATTCTTAAACATCACTTTTATATCGTGTTGTTCTATTTCTATACAGTTTTACAAATTTAATTTCGACAGCTAAATTCAAACAAATTTAGTAATTACAATACAAACATATTAAATTAATAATAATTGAAGGAAAGATTTTCGAAAACTGAATTCAAGTATAAGAAAATAACATCTCATCTCTGATAATCATTAGATTATCTAACTCAAACAAAAACATCCCTAAAATGATGATAAAATTAAATCAAGTCTTTACAAAATTCACCAGATTAGATAAACATAAATGCTAATCAAGTTTAGTACCTACAAGAGAGAAAGATTATTGAGAAACAGAAATAAGACAAGAACGCCTACAATCAAACATCTCTCACTTCTTTATAAAACAAACCAGACACCATTTTTTTTTCCCATCATATTAACTCCTGCAGCACAACACAGCACAACTCAATCTTCTATTGAATAACATACCAGACATAATTTTGTTTTCCCCGCCATACTCAACTCCTCCAACACAAGACAACTCAATCTCTGTTAAACAACATACCAGACATCATTTTTTTTCCCACCATATTCAGCTCCTCCAACACAGCAACACTCAAATCTCCGTTGAACGTCACATTCATAAATGTATACGTTCTTTTTTCCATTGTATTCAACTTAATGTCCTCCAAGCTGTAGCCACAGTCAACTAGAACACAACCAACATCTCCAGTTGCATTATAACATACCACCACCCGAACTGCACCATTGATGCTCCCAGCTTCCCAACATTTATTCATTCCACAATGTAGCTTCACGTAATCTGCACTTGATGCCAGACCAAAAACCTTCATTTCTGCAACACCCCAATTTATAAACCAACAAAGATTCAATTAACTATATTTGCAGTCGGTTTTTTCAAGATATCCCCCACAAAATCTCCATTTCTTCTCTTTCAACCACCTCATTTCTTTACTTGTATATCTCCTTTTTCTTTTTTCTTCTTTTTTTCTTTTTTTTCTTTTTTTGTTTCCCCATTTCGATCTTTTAGAAGCAAATTAATGTAGAGACCAACACAAACTAAAGTTTTTCATTTGATGCAGCAACCAAACATGAACCAGTAAATCGGACAGTAGTAGGGGCTCTGCCTCGCAAGTTAAAAATGCCACTATCATTCACAGTGGTGATAGATTTCACAGCTTGAAATTCTTATCACCAGGTCAATGGCTGTCTATTATATTTGCGCTAATCATCTGGACAGCAAATCATGCAGATTCTAGTCCATAAGTCCTCTCTCTATCTCTTTTTTTTTTTTTTCTTTTCTTTTTTTCTTTTTTTTTTTTTATCCTTTTTTTTTATAAGAAGCTCCATATTCCTCTCCACTAGCCATAAAAACAAACTTGTATCTCTACAAAAAATGGCGCCCTTAGAAGAGAAAGCACACTTCTGACTTTTCTACCAACTTTTTCAAACAATCCACACATAGCATATCTAGGCAAAATGTCTCCTCATACTCACAGTCCTCAAGACAACACCCACAATAGAAACAACGTGCTATGCAAAGCGTGCAACCCCTACAAACCTGAGAGGCATGATCTTTTGCCCGGCAACTCTCTCTTGGGCAGTCATAAACTAGCCCCAGTTTTTGGCATTTAGGGCATGACTCAATGTCGAAGGCACGATCATCATCACAAGGAGGATATAAATGTCCAAAACCAAAAAACTGCGGTTTACGGGTTCTCAGCTGCATATTGTCATCCTCACCAAGTAAGCACTTGAACTCTTCAAACTGCTTGTCTGTTATACCCATTTGTCTACCAATCCTTAAGTGCTTTATTCCTGGGGTGCCAGAAGACATGAAGGCTCTTAAATTTGACAAAATGCCCTCAATGCTGAGTTTCAAACAATCTGGCACACAAAGCTGCAAACAAAAAGCCCAAAATTCTTAGTTCAACATACTACAAAGAATTAAACTCAGGAAGAATGGAAATATAAGAGTTAAAATAAGGAAATCATTAACACTTGCTTTATAAGGACAAAAATTTGATTGATCCTGTCACTTTATCTCTTTTTCTCAAGAGAATCTTCATATAAATCAAGAGGCTTCAAGCAAGTAATATTAAAAGCACAGTAGACGAGGAAATCCCAATCGCAATATCAAGAGTTACAAACAATGAGCAAGAATTTGAATCACTTCTAAACTAAATGATGGCATATTAATACACATGTCAAGTTGAAGACATCCATTCTAATAATCAAACATTTTATCCATTTGAATGCTATCAAGAAATTAATGCTTTCTATTATCATGAGTGGGAGATAGATAATCCTTCAAGGTTCAAACACCTATCAAGAGATTGTAGGACTGAACACAAAATTTTCATATAGATGCTGATGAACAATCAAAAGGAATATTCATCATCATCATGGAAAGAAATTCAGTGAGAAGCTATGTGCTTAGAATTGATAGAGAGCGTGCTTCATGATTGAGATAGGTTCTTCCTCTCACAACACAAAAGAAATAAAGACAGATTCTTAAACTTTACATGGAAGTTTCTTTCCAGGTTCTGGTAGAAAATTACATCAATAAGAAAGGGGAGTTTATTAAGGTAACTTTGTAGTGAAGGGCTTGAAGTATTAAATTATTCTAGGAAGAAGGATAAAGATTGTTCTGTAAATTGATTTGAACCATATGTTCCCTTCAGTAGAAACCCTGAGAAGGCTAAGAGAAAGCTTTTTGCAAAATGAGGGTACCAAAATATTCATCAACGCTCTCCACCTTTCCAATTATAGTTTGCTTAAACTATATGGAATCTAAATACAACATAATATATCATAAAATTACAGTGTCTTTTGTCTAAATATATTAGCAAAATCATCAAACCATTACTAGAGGAAAGCAAAATAAAGAACCATAAAGCTATTATTACAAATAATACGCATAAGAAATAGATTTAACTAAGAAATCTAATTAAGCCACGAGTACTAACCTTCTTCAGCCCTGGATTGCTTTCGAGCACACGCTTCAAACCAATATCGGTGATTCTACAACAGTTCACAAGACTCAAGCATTGAAGAGTACCAACTGCCCTGCCAGTTAACTTCACAAGAGCATCATCACTGATCTTCGAACTCAAAGGTTGATATATGTGAATGCTCCTCCATAACAAAGGATCACTCCTAACTGCATCACGCAATGACCTACAAACTCTTTCAACCGAAAGGAGGTCTTTCACTCCCAGACAACCCAGAGCAAAAAATAAGGCATCATGGGGAATACCTCCTCCACCACAATCGAAACAAACTTCCTTAGCCTCATTATTACAAACAACCCCATCATTCACGTTCACATTCCCACTACAACCAGAATTATCACCATAAGAAACCCCATTACCAATCTCAATTTGACTAAAACTACTAATTGGAATCGATATTTTATCAAATTGCAAGTTACCCTTCAATTGTTGAAACCTCACCAAATTGAGACCAGAAAAGGATTTTTGATCTCCATTGTGTTTCTCACTCTCACACCCCCATAAACCTCCTATATCCGTCTCAAAATCTTGAATGATTGCCGTGAACGTAGGCATAGGCAACTCATCCACAGCGCCTCCCAGTTCTTGGTCAAAACTATCCTTCGATTCCTTATCTAAAAAGTCATTATCTAAACTGCTAAAACTCCATGAACCCCAGACGTCATCGCAACTCAAACCAATAGTTCTCTCTGATTCCTTGTCTAAACCGCTAAAACTCCACGAACCCCAAATATCATTACGAAAATTCAAACCCATTCCTATAAGATATATAAGATAGACTACTTACAAGAAAAACCCAAAATTCCAGGAAAGAAAACCCTCAATTCCAGAACAGTATATCTGAAATTTCAAAAGGTTTATCGAAAAAACAAGTAAATTGACGAAGTGGGTCGGCGAAAGAAGAGAGAAAGTTAAACTTGACAGGGAGGAGAAAAGCCTATGAAGATAAAGAAAAAAAAGGTACAAGTTAATGTTAGCGAAGGAGGTGGAGGAGGAGAAGGAGAAGAAGATTAATGGGGCGGGTTTCGCAACAGAAAGGGTAGACAGATTAGTTGGTATTAATAACAAGGGTAAGGGCAAGGGGAGGGCATAGTAAATATTTAATCCCTCCTGTACAGAGGGCGGGTAGATTTTTTACTGGTAATTTCTTCCCTCTCTTCTAACCTAAATCGGGAAACCAAAAGAGTGGAATACACATGTACGGTTAATATTGTATCTACGAATAATTATACGTGTATATATATATATATATATAAATTAATAATTATATTATAAAAATTTAATACTACTTGCGTTTGATTGAGTATCTTATTAACAAGGAATATGTGTAAAATAGTGAATTAATTAAAATAATTTAAGCAAATTATTGTTTTGAGAATTTATAATATATTAATGAGAGTTAGTTACAAATTATTTTCTTGGAGGTTGTGTGCAATTAATTTTTGCTTTTTCTTTCAATTTCAATTGATTTTTTGAATCTTTTATGGAAATTGTTAAATGATATAGACATATATATCTCGACTTCCCAAAAAAAAAAAAAAAAAAAAAAATAGAGATTAAAAAAAGAAATGAAGATAAGTCATAAATGAAAGTGATAAAAATTTGATAAGATATGTTTGGCAATTAATGATAGTTGGAAGACAGGCAAATTAAATATGGGGGATATTGACAATTAAATAAAATCATCACCTTCTCCTATAAACTAAATGTATATCCATCCTCATTATATACTAAATGAGAAATTGGTTTAGGTCATAATCAAAAGTGGCAAGGCCAACTAATTAATTAATTGAATTTGGGATAAAATAAATTGAAATGCCTCAACTAATTGAGGTGGTACAACTAATGGAGAGTGATTAGGTGGGTTCCTACTCATTAAAATTAAAGTCATTTTGTAGATGGTGTTAAGTTCGATGGCTTGAACTATAAGGTTAAGATAACATGATATCAATTTCAATGTCTAAATTTCGGCACAACCACATAATTTTAATGTATGATTCACTGGTGGGAATAAAAATTAATACGATATTAGATAACATATGTTGATATATAATTAATAATCCATATGGGAATATTTATACAAAACAATCTTGCATATAGAATCTATTAGGGAGAAAAGAGAGAATTTGATAAAAGAAATCTTCCAAAATCAGTAACCTATATCATCAAAAGTCACATCTTCCCCAAAACTCAAAGATTTTACTTTTACAACCCCACCAAGTCAATTGATCTCTTGCCCACCACATCATATTACTATTAAATAAAAAATAATAGAGTATATCCCTTCCAAGACAAGTTAGGAACGCGGCTAAGAAAAGAAGAGTCTCAGTCAGTGTCAAATTGTTGTGTTGACGTGTTGAGCAAGCCCAGCCCACATCACCAAAAAGAGAAGAAGGATCAAAGACGCTTATTGAATTGAATCAACTAACGACCAAATCTTCTCTAAATTATTATTATTTTAATGTTAATTTATTTGCAATTTCTAAACAATCAGAAAATCACCCGTTTCTTCCTTGCTAAGCCTTAGCAATCAGATGAAAGAAGATTCCAAGTCCTCCACAGAGTTTGCAATAGCTTTTCGGAGAAGAAATTGAAACTTCAATTACCCAAAAACGCATCCATGCCCAGAAAACAATTATGATTTACATATGTAATCTGCTCGCGGCAACATTTATTGATTCAACTTATTTTTACACACAACAGATACATACTCTTAATCGACAGCTGAGCTAGATTTCAGCACAAAATAACCTGTTTTTTTTTTTTGACATTCTATCAGGGGGAGGCCCAGCTGAATAGATCATTGAAAGTAAGATAACATCACTACATTATTGCTGTATTACAATTCGGCTCTAATGAAAACTCAACTCAAACGGCATTTATTATGCATGCTAAATCTCTCTATAAGGTGGGAGGAATCCATATATACCCATGTGTTTGAACATAACCAGCTTTGGCTAGAAGCTCATCTGCTTCAGCAGGACCTCGGCTGCCTGGTTTGTATGGTAATGTCTTCATTTCACCGTTGTCAATTCTGTGCAGAAGAGGAGTGAAAATCTCCCAGGCCGCCTGATAATTGAAACAATAGAATTGTTAAAGTGTGATGTGGAGCTATGAGTATAGATAATTAGATATTTAACCAACCGGACAATATTTACCTTCAACTCGTCTCTGCGAACAAAATGCTGCTGATCACCTCGAATCCTGTCAACATTTCCAGTTTCATGATCAATTTATGTATGAAAAGGATATAAACTTAAAATTTGTGTATCAATATCATTATTGCACTAAAAGTATGTCTATAATTCTCATAGGATCAGGATCATACGTGTCAAGAATTAGGCGCTCATAAGCCTCTGGGATTGTAACATTTTGATAACGTTGCCCATATGACAAGTCTAGCTCACTTTGTACCGTTGACATCTCCAGACCAGGCTGCTTGACCTGAGACATAGAGCAACTTAGCGGACATGAACAAAGACCCTGAAATTCTTCAGGCAACAGTTTCAACAACTGAGGGATTAACTCTAGGTCAACAAATTGAATCTCTTCCGCTCTAAGATTATTGGGTATGAATATGTGGATTCATGTGACTTGATTGGGAAAATAGATTCTCTTTCAGGAAAGGAAAAAAAAAATGCTTTCTCCACTATCAGACAAAGCAAATTCCTTTATTGTGCAAATGAACAATTTGTTAAAAAACAGGTCATCCAAGTCAACTCAAAATTTAACATTACAAGCAATATCTTCTACAGAAAAAATAAAGGGAACTTTGGGAATAGCTATCATAATGCTGATATCAGAATTACTTACTGTCAGCTTCATGTAAATGGCCTCTAATGGTTGAAGACGTATTACAAATTCATTTCTCCCTTGCTTTTGACCTAAGTATAAGAGAATATTAGCAATTGATTAATGGCTTTCAGTTATTTAGACAGAGTAAAATAACACTCAGGCTGCAACAATTCATGCAATGATACAGATAAACAAAAAGTCAATAATCAATTGACCTAACAATGAGTCATATTGCTGATTACAAGCCACCATTAATTTTTGTAGAGAATGGCTCAGTTGCTGTGAAAAATGCAGAAGTCACACCAAAATACAAGATATCCCGATATCATTTTAAAAATACTATCGTATCTTTTTCTTTACAATAAAACCATTCTTTAATAATTTATTACCAGAAAGCGCTTTTACATTTACTCGATCAACAATTTTTTTTTTTATAGAAGCTATATTTCCATAACCCTACTTCAACAAGATCTACTTCCATAAGCTCAATCAGAAGAAGTTATACCAAACAAATCGTAAAACCTGTATCCCTACAAACTGTATGCATAGATCAGTAAAATGGAGCTCCATCATGTTTAATAAGTGCTGTAAAATTCTGTTAGTGACTAAACAACCTACCTTAGATGGTTACTTCTCACACTCATTTTAATATGGAAGACTACAACTGGAAAGTGCATAGAAAACAAGAAAAATCTTCAACAGAAACTTGAACAGAATTTCAGGTTTTGTGTCATACATTTGAATATATCACCAGGAACATCCTTAAATTGAACGCGTATCTCTGCCTTCCTTGAATTCAATGCCTTTCCTGCCTTTAATATGAAGGGAACACCTAAAATCAAAGATAGATAAGTAAACTAGCAGAGGCAGTGGGAAAAAATGGAGTCATGAATGTGTTAGGGTCAATTCAGTGCATTAGACATACATATATAAAGCAATCATCACTAATGTGCTCGTGCAGAATAAGAAGCAAACTTTTAAAATAGAAAGTTCAGAACGTATTTCCAGTGAACTGCATTAAGTTCTGAAAAGGACAAAAAGGTAGACTAGAAATTCATAATACCTTCCCATCTTTCATTATGTATGCGCAAAACAACAGTAGCAAATGTTGGGGTATTTGAGTGCTCAGGAACTGTTGGATCATCCCTATAGCCATCATATTGTCCAAGAACAACTTCTTCATCATTGATTGGGAGTACAGATTGGAGAACCTGAGTTTCACATAATAATCAGCAATATTATGGCAGAGATATAAATATTATGGCAGAGATATAAATGGACTATGATCATAGAAATTAGAATCCTGTGAAAACTTAAAGAAATCTTAGGGGGACACATCAATCATTACATATATGTACTGCTTGTAATCAGAAACCAAAAAAAAATCACCTCATTTCTTCTGTATATCATTACAAAAGGAAAATGGAATAGAAATGATGAAACATCTAGGTTTAATAAAAATGATAGAGGCCTTTGTAGCAGAAATATTAATTGACGACAGAATATATGTTTGTAAATGCTTTTCAATAATGAAGTAAAAAGTTACAAGTTACACACCTTCACTTTCTCATCCCGGATGTACTCAGGTTTCAAAGAGACGGGCTTTTCCATTGCAACGAGACATAGAACCTGCAGTTTGTGGAATACTAAAATATTTATAAAAAATAGAGAAATGTAAATATAACCTTTCCTTCCTCCTTATACATGACATTGAATAATCAAATTATATTCTCACTTCTGAATGTTCCAGCATTAAGAAAAATTATCAAATATGAAGAAAAAAAATCATTGATACAAAGATGACTTGTTAACCACACAAAAAACTTTTTGATTCAATATATGGCCTACCTGCAACAGATGATTCTGAATGATATCACGGATAATCCTGTAAAACATAAACATAGATACAATTAATGCAAGATTACTCATCAATTTCATGATTTTTTGACATCAGGTGGGTCATATTTTCTATATTTTTTCACAAGCAGGTCAACATTAAAAATACTAAAAAAAAATTATCTATCTGTTAAAAATTTTTTTTGTCAACATCAGCAGGATGTATGAATGAAACTAGCTTCAAAAGGATGAAAGCAATCTATAGAACTCAAGTTTTAATGTGCAAGCTACATGTCCATAAAAATACCATACAAAATTCAAACACATGATTCTTCTTATTTTTTCATTTCAAGATACAGCACAAAGAATTGAGAGTAACCATTCATCAAGCATCATACCCATATTCATCAAAATATCCTCCACGAC